ACTCAAATTTCTCACAGCTACGTATGGTCAGCACTCGCCAAAGAACGATATACCATGGTGGCTAACCCACTGACCCATAATGTGTGCGATGTGTGCTCCTGGGCCTCTTATCCATGCGGCTACTCTGCTGCTTGTGCGATCCGAGTCCAAAAGCATCACGGTGCGCCGAGCACCGTGGTTGGGAAGGCTGCCGGCTGACGCCTCAACTGATTCCACGCAGTTTGCCCAGTTTTCTCAGTTTGTGTGCAGTGACGGACTGGTGCGCTTAGTCAGGTGTCGTCTGGCACTCTCACACATGTGTGGAGTGTGTGTGCATATGGGTAGTGCCTCTCAGTCGATGACTGACTGCTTACCCTGCCTCTGAAGAGTGTTGGTCCAGGCTCGGTGCAGATCTGTGTGTCAACCTACTGGGTCTCAAAGTTTGTCAGCTTCAGCTATGCTATTATTCAGCCAGCCTGGTGTGCGCTGGCAGTTCTTTGGTATGTGATTCCCTGTCGGTGTATGCGTTTTCGCTCCCGCTGGGTATACATGTCGTGAGCATTGCTGCCCAGTCATTCTCCTCTTCCTGACCTGTTGTTGTGCTGCTGTTGGTAAAAGCCCCAGTCAATATTTGTTGTGGACCAGGGAGTGTGGTGGTACCCCTTGGGTTCGAGTCCGGCCGTGCCAGCCACCTGAGCCCTTTCCTCTCTCCGGCCGTCATGGCTATGTCGTGACACCGGACTCAGGTGGACAGGAGTGCGGCAGATGCTGCGCAAGTCCCTGTGCCTGCTTCACTTTTTTTATGGAGTAAACGGTGAATATCGTCGGGTTAGACGGTCGAGATGTCATACTACGGTGTAGTACAGTTTGTAAATTAAACCAGCGAACCGAAAATCATTTGTAGACATTTCTTCTGCATTCTTGAACACCACAATTTAAAAGGCTTATGGAAGATTAGCTATTGGCTAACTTCATATGAAGTGTAAATATACCTTTTCTACAAGTTCACCAACATAACTAAATAGTTAAGTCGGCCAGTAAGTAATACTTTACAGATACTTCACCTAAACAGATATCAAAAACTTCTAAAGTCAGACAAAAAGTCTTCAGAAGGATTTTTGACTTCAATAGACACCCAAACAAGCTGATGGAGTATGGTCGCCGAAACAAGATATAAATTATCTCCATGGTCCTAGAGTGAGAACCTCTCAGGTAACGGTGGTAGTTAAAATTCGATTTCAAGGTGGCACTTCAGAAGAAGAAGAAGAAGAAGAAGAGGAGGAAGAAGGGGAGAAGAAGGGGAGAAGAAGAAGGAGAAGAAGAAGAAGAAGAAGAAGAAGAAGAAGGAGAAGAAGAAGAAGAAGAAGAAGAAGAAGAAGAAGAAGAAGAAGAAGAAGAAAAAGAAGAAGAAGAAGAAGAAGAAGAAGAAGAAGAAGAAGAAGAAGAAGAAGGGGAGAAGAAGAAGAAGAAGAAGAAGAGGAAGAAGAAGAAGAAGAAGAAGAAAAAGAAAAAGAAGAGAAGGAGAAGAAGAAGGACACTCGCCGATGTGTTTGGAGACGAAATTGTCCAGATAACAGTATATTGCCACCAAATTGGTTAGACTTGACCCGACTGCTAATGCCCTTGACAACATATTCCCGAATAGTTTACGGTCAAAATAAGTGCAAAAGAGGCATAAAAGTGCAAATACAAGAGTGGAGTAGGCAGAACATGAAAACGTTAAGAAGGTTGGTCAAGTTTGCGATTATTTGCATTCCCTGAGGCATTAAGATTTAGGGGCTGAGAAGAGGGATGGAGGGAGACAAAAAAGAAAGTAACCTCCATTGGCAGTTCCAGAACTGCTTGACGCCTAACTCCAACAGTTATAATTATTTAATGCAATATGTATCCGTGTTTGATGAGGATATAGCGACAGAGGACCAAAATGAAGGCCCACAACCAAAGAGGGCGCGTAAAGGTACTCGTAACTAATCAGCAGTCTAATTATGGCTGTGCCCAACGTCCTCTACGTCAAACTCCAGTAAAAGGCGGTGGCAGTGGTGGGGGAGGAAAAAGAACAGTATTTAGTAGCGAAAGACAAGTGCGCGTGTGCGCGAGCCCTCTGCCTTTCCTGCAAGCGGCCCAATTAATAAGTTTGGTAAACATCTCGGCCAAGGATGCGCACGCGTATACACGGAGTAAGTTGGCGTGTCGGGGTATGCGTAGGTGTTTTCGCCGCTGTCAGCGAGGTGGGTGGGTGGTTTGCATCAGGACGCACACGTACGAGGAATTGGGCGTCCAAACCCCTACCAGACCGCCGGATAGTAGGCGTCCTTTCATCTCGTTGCTCATGCGCGAATAGTAAGTAATCTAGGGGAGGGGACAAGGAAGACGGAAGGTGTTGCTTCTGCCTTCCTGGCACGTATGCCGCAAAGCCAGACCGGAGGGGTCTTAACCTAAGACAGTTGGACAAAGGAGGCGGGTCGAAAGCCAACGTTGCCTGACGGGATTAGGTCGCCAGGCTCGAAAAGGATCTTTAGAATAACTGTTTCGGAGACAAGCTTCTAACCTCAGTCCGCCGCTTGTCAGATAGACTCTTTTATTTTTTACACGAACAAGGAGACTGTACAGAATCACAAAAGATCTGTTTTGCTGATAAGATTGTAAAAAATCAAGGTTATTGTGTGCAAGTCGGTGTTTTTGGCCGATCGGCAGAAATAGATCAATGTCAGAGCAAACAGTATGCGCACATCACTAAACTTCAAAGGCCTGACATTTCATCACAATAAATTACGGGTGCGAAAGGTGAGAAATAAAAGAAAACTACGCAAGATGTAGCGAAGTGAAAAGTACTTCAACAACCCTGCTAATTAGCTTCTTTCAAAATGGAGGGTAAGAACTACCCTATGCTGAATGTGCAAATTTAAAACGCAACACAAGCCTGTTTTTTAGGGCACAGCCCATTTGCAATAAAGACCGTGAGCACATGAATAAGAGGTCACGAAATTTTATGATGCCATTAAATTCTGCATGTTTATTCGTCTTTGCCTTATTCATTTGTAATGCCCAAGACGCTTCAGCCGCTTATGTGTTCACATGTTCGGAGAACGATTTCAGTCTTCCGACTATATATATCTGCAGCGACAGAGAATGGCCGGTGGCGAGGCACTGATGAACTTCGGTTCGATGAAGTGCTTATCACCCATCCGGTAGACCCCAGTGGTGGACCAGCTGCACCAGGTGTGTCTGTGCACATGTTTGTGTTTCCGGTCCCAGCCGGTGGTCAGGGTTATGATTGAATGAAGGCAAACAAGCCCGAAACAGTGCTGTATCAATCTACCCCCCAGACTCTGTCGTCTCCCCTCTGATATATATATATATATATATATATATGCAGAATGGCCATTTCTGGCTTATTAGCCGTCGTCAACCAGTCATATCCAACTCCGAAGTGTGGAACATTTGGGGCTCGATCCAGCGACGTGTTAGTTAGAAGTCTAACGCCTCTAACCCCTGAGCCACGGGCTCGTTGTCTTGTCGGTTGCGATCGGGAATATACAATGGTAGAGGGACGGTCATCTATCGTTCTCTAAAGAACTCACGTCTTGTTGTGCCTTACGGGCTCTCACTCGAGCCCAACCACCAGTCTCCCTTGTCCTTGCCGGTAATACCACTCTGTCTATATCAATCGCCACTGTGAGGCTGCTGGTTGGGCTCGAGAGCAAGCCCTAAGGCACAGCGGGACGAGTGAGTTCCGTAGCAACGATCGCTGAGAAGAACCACTTGATGCAATCAGCATGGACAGAACTTAAAAAAGCCCAAAAACCGTGGTTGGGTCGATCTTCCTGGTCATAAAAAGTTGAGTTTAGCGCACTGATTCATCATAGTTGGCACCGCCACTCGGCAGAACATCTCAAAAAATGACCATGAACGAAAGATGAAACAACAAAGGTAGTCGCTGAA